TGTCATGGTCGCGCGTGGGTGATCGCGATTTACATGACGGATAGCATCACCAACCGCTAGCAGTTGTTCATTTTTCCCATTTCTGAGACAAATGGGGCACTGCATGTCTGCAAACGGTACCAAGATGTCGATGTCCAAGGACAGGCCTGGTTCGTCATCATTGCTTCCCTGACCAGTACGAGGAGGAGCGGAAGCATGCGCCTCCTCGTCATCCGAGGCAACAGAACTTATATGTCTTGAAGCAACGGGAAAGAATCCCGCCGCGGCTAGCTAGGCCACGGCGGGTTTTCTCACTACCAGCATACCCAAAACGAGCATTGAGCAGCGGGGTTTTACGCCCGCGCTGGCAAACCAGGCTAGCTGGCGGGTGGCATGAATCTCCACCCAGGCAGACTGATGGTCTTTGAGATGCAAGTGTTACCACCTCCTCCCATCACCGAACTCCTAAGAGTAAGACCCTCCCTCCAGAGGAGGGGAAGATCAGTCGAACTTCTGCGGCTAGCGTAGGGTCTGCGTGCTCGCAACACACGTAAGTGTCGACACTCTCCGAAGAGAGTTTATGTCTCCACTCCCCATGCAGGAAAACTACCAGCTGCTACAGCGACAGCCATAACCTAAATCTATGCCTATAACACTGTCCGGCGCTGCGCCAAGTGTCCGGCACAGGCACAGATCACTTGGCGCACTCTTACCCTTACGCTACCGCCTAGCTACACCGCGTTTCCACACTCGCGCACTGTCCTCTCCGGCCCTGACGCCGCCCCAACCCGAGCCACATGAGGCCGCCGGAAGCACAAGCCCAGCGACGCAGTGCTCGACTCGGTCCAACACGAGGGGAAGGACTCACCCCCAGCCCCCGCGCAAACCCGCACAGGGACCAAAAACAACACGGCGACATACGTCCGTTTCTGCTCGCAGCGCTTCGACGCATGCCTACCCAAAGTCATCGTCGCTAACTATGAGCTCGGCATACGTCTCAAACAACCTCACCGCGCTCGCGTCCCTGATCCCGTCCTCCTTTCTGAGCTGCCAGCCAGTTGCATCGCGACCAAGGCTCTCTCGCGCTGCAACCCTGACCGTCTTCCCGCAGACGAACACAATCGCTGCTGCTGCCCAGCCTGAACCTATGGAGGTAGGCCCTGAAATTTCCATGTCCTGTGGCGAGCTGCATCGCCTTTTTTCCTATCCCCAACATTCCCTTGCCGACAGCTGCCGATATGTTGTACAGCTCCCGACCCTTGGTGCTGCCATGCGACCGACGCTGCCACTCCTCGACCACCCAGGACTTTCTTGCATTGGTGAGTGTCTGTGTTCAGCTTTAGAGAATATTTCTCTCATTCACGCTTTGTAGAGGAGTCTACAGGAAGCCCTAAAGACTCTAGTGCCTATGTTGCCTCTAATGTTGGTTGAGCTGATGAATTACATTTCTGAGATGAGAGTGGGATTCTTTTGTCATGGATTGAATATCAAATATTGCTTTTAAGTGAGTTTGAATAATGACTCGCATATTTTCAAATCTATCGCAAAGAAGTTTCCAGGCTTTGTCATAGTTGATGTCTGCAATTTCTAATGAATTGAGAACGTTAGCGGCATCGATTTTTACACATGATTTTAAATACCAAAATTTCTGAATGTTATTTAGTTATTGAATGCTGTGCTGTTATGAATGAAAGCCTTGTATGTATTCGCGAAATGTAGCCATTTATCATATGAACCATATAATTCTAGTTGATTTTCGGTAAGCTCGCGATATCATTACTTGCGGTTAAATTATGAAGTGTTGCACTTTGTTGAGGAGGGTTGAGGTTTACGCTAGCCTGGTTCTTAAAATATGTGTCAATAATATTTTTAGCTTTACCTGTAGGGGAAAAGAAATGATTTTCAAAGTCTGCCATATGTTGTTCATGGTCAGAATCTATATCTAAATTTTCTAGTTCAAATTGAACGGTTTCAAATTCGTTCCAGCATAGATTAGTGTTTTCTAATCTGAACTGCAGTTCATGAATGGTGTCTACGTTATCAAAACTGTTTACGAAAGAGCCGAAATGTGAAAGGGACGCTTTGATAACGCCCCGTTTCTTGATTATTTGATTCACTGACCTGAACAGTGTGTAAATGTATATAAAAATGGTTCTGAAAGGTAATGAATGAATAAATGAATGCGAATACGGTAAGAATGCAAATATTTGCAAAGGCACGTGATTATTGAGAGGAGATGACGAATGTCTGACCACGTTGTGCAGATGTTGGGGATTTATGAGGGAAAAATGTCGAAGCCCCCTATCCAAACTCCATTTTACAAAATCTACATGTTCATTAGTATGTCATGTCATGTCATGTCATGTCATTTATTAACTATTTAAAAGTTTTTCAATATATGCCTAAGTAAACATAAGTTATTTATTACTTAAAATATTTTATGCAAGAAGTGCCGATGTACAATTAAAGATGTATCTTTCAAATTTCCGGTACAGAAATTGCTCTTGTCATAACATATGCACTTCTTTCATGAACACAAAATAGCTTCTTACATACATAGCCACAACAAATTTGCAGTATAATTGTTATTTATAATTATATTACTTAGACATTTTTGGAACCAGAATAGATTATCCAGAGTGCTGGTTTGTAGTTTTGCTTTTTGACAGTGATTAATAATCTCATGTTAATGTCAACTAAAAATTATTGCTTGCCTTAATAAAATAAAACAAAGAAGACTTCCTAGATATGTAATTTTTACATTATTGTATGTATTCTCATACGTGTTCAATCTCACTAATAAATTTTATAGGATTTTGTAATGACGTCGGAAGAAAATTTTTATGATGATTTGTTTGTATCTGATATTACGGAAGAACTTTATTCTCCTTCTTCTGAGGTGTCGTCTTCGGAAAATGAAGAAAAAGCGCCGAAATAGAACTCATTAACAATGAAGTGCCAAACACCTATCAGAAATCGTTTGGCGCCGCGGCTATTAGGCGCCCCTGTGGTTCTGGGCTCCCTTCTTGTGAGCATCTGAGCCTCCTTCCTTAGCGCCTTCTTCACTTCCGTCAGGGAAGCCTTGAAGGCGTCACATTTGCCGCTTCCGGCTCTGTGCCCCTTCTTTTGGCATAT